ACCTCCAGAGTCACAGAGCCCATCATTCTGTATATGACCTAGTTTGTCTTCACAGCAGTTATTGCCACTTGAAACAAATTTGCTTGTTTGTAAGTTCCATGAGAGAAGGAAGCATGTCTATCTCTTAATAAATAGGTTTTAGACAGCAAATATTTTTTTCCCATTCTGTGGGCTGTCTCCCCACTCTCTTGATGGTTTCTTTGCTTTGCAGAAATTTTTCAGTTTGATGAGATCCCACTTGTCTATCTTATCTCTTACAGCACGGGCACTTGGGTTTTTGATCAGAAATTGGCTGCCAGTTCCAATTTCCATAAGAGTGTCTCCAGCATTTTCTAAGATTCTTATAGTTTGAGGTGTTGCATTTAGGTCTTTGATCCATTTAGAGTTGATTTTTATATATGGTGATAGGCAGGGATACTGTTTCAATCTTCTGCATGTGATCAGCCAGTTTTCTCAGCACCATTTACCGAATAGGTTCTCCTCTCCCCGGTGGTTAGTGGTGGAGGCCTTGTCGAAGATGAGTTGGTTGAGAAATTGAGAGTTTGCTTCTGGAATCTCTATCCTGTTCCATTGGTCCATATGCTTGTTCTTGTACCAATACCATGCTGTTTTGATTATTGCAGCCTTATAATAAAGTTTGATGTCTGGAAGTGTGATGCCTCCTACTTTGTTCCTTTTGCTAAGGATTGTTTTGGCTATGTGTGGCAGTTTATGTTTCCATATGAATTTCTGAATTGTCATTTCCAGGTCTGAGAAGAATGATGTTGGTAATTTAAGGGCTTTGCATTGAATCTGTAGATTGCCTTTGGTAGGATGGACATCTTAACAATGTTGATTCTTCCTATCCATGAGCATGGAATATTTTTCCATTTGTTTGTGTCTTCTTGGATTTCTTTGAGCAGTGTTTTGTAGTTCTCATTGTAAAGGTCTTTCACTTCTCTGGCTAGGAAGATGCCAAGGTATTTCATTTTTTTTGTGGCTATCGTGAATGGGATTGTGCTTTTTATTTGGTTCTACACCTGCTTGTTGTTGGTGTATAAGAATGAAACTGTCTTAAGGCCTAACATCTAGGATCTACAAGGAACTCAAAAATACTGAAAGGGAAAAAAACCCAAACAGCCCCATTCAAAAGTGGTCAAAGACATTAATAGACACTTCTCAAAGGAAGATATACTAGCAGCCAACAGACACACGAAAAAGTGCTCAGCCTCATTAATCATCAGAAAAATGCAAATCAAAACCACACTGAGATGCCACCTGAGCCTAGTAAGAATGGCCATCATTAATAAAACAAACAACAACAGCTGCTGGCGAGGGTGTGGAGAAAAAGGTACGCTTCTATACTGCTGGAGGGAATGCAAACTAGTGCAACCTCTTTGGAAAACAGTGTGGCGATTACTGAAAGAACTAGAAATTGACCTTCTGTATGACCTAGCAATTCCCCTATTGGGAATATACCTGGAGGAACTCAAATCCTTCTACTAAAAAGATACCTGCATATGCATGTTTATTGCAGCACTATTCACAATAGCAAAAACATGGAACCAACTGTGCCACCCATCTAAACTGGACTGGATAAAAAGAAATGTGGTACATACACACAATGGAGTATTATGCAGCCATAAAGAAGGACAAACATATGGGCTTCGCAGCAACTTGGATGGATTTAGAGTCTATCATACTCAGTGATCTATCACAGAAACAAAGAACAGAGTACCATATGTTCTCAATTATAAGTGAAGCTTGAACAATTATCATAATACTATAAGAAAGGGACTGACAGTAGTGGGAAATGACCAGGAGAGGGGGGTGGAATTGGCAGTTTAGGGACACTACCAGGGGAGGGAGGGCACACCTCATCAGCAAGGGTACCTGCCTAATGAACATCTGTATACCTAGCCCTGAACTGTACCCCACACCTTTAAAACAAAAAATTTAAAAGTTAAAAAGATGAATACAGTCTGTCAGAAGAGTTCTAGTTCACCATCCTCACATATGGTTTGTTGTGAAGCTGAAGCTACCCAGCATCCTCTCTGTTCCATCTGCAACAACCCCTGAACTGCATGTGGTCCACAGCTTCATAAGATATTTAGCTACTTCTCAATATGCCAGTGTCTTCCTGGCTAAAAGGCAATGCCAATTTCCTTACTGACATTCATAAAAATGCCAACACTAAGATGACTTTTAAATTGTAAATAATAATTCAATAAATAAAGCATTCTCAGTTGTTTTTTCATGAAATTCGATAAGTGTACTTCTTTTGACTAGAAAAAACACAGCCTAAAAATATTTTTACTTTAATTTTGTTAAATTACCTTGACTTAAAAAAGTGCTCTGCTTGCTCATTCTGACAGAACCCCTTCCAGTGAACAGAGAATCGTATGAAGAACATGGACTTGCTATGAACCTGACCTAGTTTCCGATATATGTACCAGCATTTGTCATTTTGTGACCTTGGTCAAGTTACTTAAACGCTTATAATGCTGTTTTCCTCATCCAATAGTATTGTACCAAAAGAAATTATAGTAGAGTCAGTGTGAAAATTAAATGGGGTAATGTTGTAAAAGTGACTTATAAATGCTCCATTTTTGAGTGTTAATTCATACCAAATGTTCTGCTATGTCCTTTAAACAGGCTATCTCTTTAATTCTTATTTACTATATTATTCCCATTTTACAGATTTTGAGACTAAATAATTAAGTAATTTTCCAGAGCCAGAAAGTTGTAAGTTGTCAGAACTGGATTTTCAAACTTAAGTTTATCCATATCAAAAGCTTTTGTCCTTAACTACCACCCCTATTGCTTCTAAAATGTCAAACACAAGCTGTAGCATTTGACAGGTATAGTATAAATGTAAACTTATCTTCCTTATCCCCTTCCACTAGTGTCTCTGATTCTTTTCCTATTCTGTATCAACACTAGGTACTTAGTCATATTACCATCTGCCACACTCTATTTCACTGAACATTTAAGTTTTCCTTCTTTATGTGAAATAAAATATGTTAGAAACTTAAAGTATTTCCAACAGATGAGTTCTACCAATGATTTGTTACAATAGGAGCAACATGGATATTTAGGGACAGCCTCAAATGGTGACTGTTTTGCAGGATCTTTATTTGAATTCATATGCTTGTTTATTTTAAACACATAACCAATATGAAACTTAGCTGCAATCAGTTCAACAGGATTTGCTGTGTACTTTTGATAAGCCAATATTATTTTAGAATAAATCCTTTAGATTATTGTCTGAGAACGTCTTAGATTGCATAGCACACTCCATTAGTAATAGATCTTTCGTGTGGATTTCAAATTTTTGTATAGTAATTTACTTAAAAACTATATACACAGGTTTTCATTATAATCATATATATTTATGCTATGGATTAAATGTGTCCCCTCTAAATTTATATATTAACATCCTAATATCAATGTGATGGCATTAGGAGGTGGGACCTGTGGGCAGTAATTAGGTCATAAGGGGTGAGGGTGAAACCACCATGAATGCGATTAGTGCCCTTATAAAAAGACACAATAACTTGCTTTCACCCGCCCCGCCACTCTCCACCATATGAGGACAAAGCAAGAAAACTGCCATCTGTAAACCAGAAAGCAGACCCTTACCAGAACCAAATCTGCTGACAACTTGCCCTTGGCCTTCTAAGCCTCCAAAGCTGTTGTTTAAGCCATCCAGTCTACAGTAATTTGTTATAGCAGCAGAACTTGCAAAACCAATGTATTGATAAAGTATGTGTATTGTGAAACAGACAATAAGTTAATAAAAACAGGATACCAATGTGTGTATGTGTGTATTCATTCTGATATTTTCTTTCCTTATCCCAGTGGAGGGTCTTGTACATCTGGCACATACATATACATCCCACTTTGGAGAAGATTGTTTTAGATGATAATTGTTATAAAAGATCTAAGACTCCTCCTTGTAAATTGTTACTCAACAAAATTGTAATGTTTCACATCTGTTTAGCAGCATCCATTACCTATACTGAAAGACAAATGACAATGAGGATTCACCCGAAGTGCAATTTAGGAAGACATACTTGAATGCAATTTCATCATAACTTGTCTAGAACACGAAGCTTAACATAGTTGTTAAAGACTTACATGATAAACTGACATGAGACACTACCAAACAATGGGGCACTCTAAAGATAAGAGAAAACACTTCTGAAAGTGTGATATTGAAAGGAACCAAAATTAGATACAACTTTGAGTACAGGGATTGGAGACAGGCCATCGTGTTGACTCCGGTTAGGTTATGAAACCTACAGAGTCAAAGACTTAAACAATTATGGCCTAAGTAATTGTGCTTCCTTCTAGCTAAAAAGACTGCTGCAATTGCATCAGTGTTTGGAGCAGCATTCACACAGATATATAACAACGCTGTGATAAGAAGTCAACGGTGAAAAAAATAGCCAGAGAGAGGGAGAGGAAGAATGAGACCATCTGTTACTGATGTGTGTGACAGGGCTATCTTGGTTGCTGTTCATATGCTGACTGAAGTTACAAAAAAACACTGTCATTCATAAGTCCAAAAAAATTCCTCAGACAAAAGATTACTTGCTTTTATCAAATGACATTCTATAGCAGCAGTTGGTTCAACAAATTAGTTCAAACAGTCTTAAACGATATCTCTTATAAGAGGATGATATATAATTTTACAATGTTTTAAAGTTCATTTCCATGTACACAATTTTTTTCTAAAATAAATATGTGAGAGTAAGAAGTTTGATCTTGATGTAGAAAACTGAGTCATTCTGAAGAAACAAAAAAGAATTCCATTTCTAATTAGTTTTGTAAAATTTGCCAGTTTACATGAAAGAACAATAAACCAATGAAAAGAGATAATTAAGAAAGAATTTGACAAACTGCAAAAAAAAAAAAAAAGAAGAAAACATTTAAAAAGCAATTTTAAATGTCCCTAAATTTTTGAACAAAATAAGATTCTAATAAGATTTCTCGGAGAAAATTTCTTGACATCTTACCTTGCCATACTTCTGTGCATAAGACCCTGTGAGCAGTGAGTGAAAAACAATGATGGTTTCATCCAAATCCCAGACAAACACACGCTGAGGGCAATAAATATTAAAAAAAGATTATAAAGTTTAATAAAACAGAAATCCCTTCACAAGCAGAAAACATTTCCCTTCATTGTTAGATATCATCTTAATACCATTTTATAGAAAACAATCCTTTTCCATTAATTGCATTTCAAATTTGCCAAATCTAACTTCTATAAAGCCTGAGGAGTAGGAATGATACAATAGTAAGTTTAACAGTCAAATGTCCTAACTTGAATAAATGAATCCAAACATTTGCTTATAGTTAATACCAAAAAAAGATGCATTTGAACCTTATGATAAAAGTGTGCTTGAAACTTTGTATTTTAAGGTTTTATATCTCATGGATTCATAAAATTGCTTAGCTTATACAAATAATTAAAAATTTAAAAATACTTAAAAGAATCAATAAGCAACTCCTAAACAGATTTTGCAAAGTGTGGACCTTGAGGGCAGATTAGGCCAGCTGACGAGTTGTTTGACTTCTATAGAGTCTTGAATGATTACAAATTACTGATCTCTTATGAAGGGGCACAGTGTCTGTTACTAAATTTTACTAAATATAAACACTTATTTATTTTTCTTAATTGAAGTATGCAGTTGTATAAAAAGTAACATATAGTTAAGAATAGTTGATCCTGGTGTTTCATCACAAAAAACAAGCTGCTTAGTATGACTCTATCTCAAAAGAGTCACAAATAGAAAAAAATAACATATATTGAAATTTTGAAAGATATAAAAATTTTTATTGAAATTTTGACAGATATAAAAATGTTTTATATAAAACATATAAAATATGTTTTAAAACATATATCAAATGATTGAACGTTTTCTGTTTTCAGTAGATGACTTTTTCTTTCCACACAGATTGCTTTTATCTTTTAAAACTTAAGGACCCATACAAATGTCTTTCATTACTTTAACTATCAAATACTGTGTTTCTCAGAAAATCTGTCTCACAAATAAGACATGGATTTTAAAAATTTGTGCCAATTTGGATCAAAAGATGTGATTATCCCAGGCCTAGAATTTGTAAAGTAATGTCACTTTTGTTGTTATTGTTTTAAATCTTGCCATTATTAGATAAACTCTCAAACTTCAGAGTTGTAAAATGTCTACGACAAAAGTAGGCCTACTCTCAATCCATAATGTATCTTTTCTATTTTTCAGCTTGAAACTTGATGGAACTATAAGATACAGAATATATCATTCAACCAAATAAAGCATAATATTACACTATTTTTTTTTTTTTTTTGAAGTCAAAGTCTCACGCTGTTGCCCAGGTTGGAGTGCATTGGCATGTTCACAGCCACTGCAGCTTCGACCTGCTGGGCTCAGGTGATCCTTCTGCCTCAACCTTCCAAGTAGCTGGAACTACAGGCATGCGCCACCATGCCCGACTAATTTTTTTATTTATTGTAGAGATGAGGGCTCGCCAGGTTGCACAGGCTGGTCTCGAACCTGTGGACTCAGGCAATCCTCTCACCTCGGCCTCCCAAAGTGCTGGGATTATAGGCGTGATCCACCGCACTCGGCTCAATATTACACTCTTTAAGAATAAGTAGACATACCTCCAGGTCACTATCGGGAGGTGGAGAGGGATTGTTTTTCCGGCCTCTTCCTCTGGACTTTGACCCAGAACTCCTACAAGTTCTCTCGTCAAGATCTTTGATGGGAGTGGAGGGGCTCTGCACGGTATCAAACTCTCCTATAAATAACAAAACTTGTGTCAAGAACAGCACTTCATTTTTAGATCACATTAGTCTTCATTATTAATTCTCATAACAATTTCCATACACTAGAAACTTTATGGCAAAAAAAGAGATGTATAATCCCAAATACTCAATAACCTTATTCAGTCAAAAATTCTGTAGGTCACACAAATCTCTCCTAATTTTTATCAATATGATCTATCAAACCTGAATGTCTTTAATGCCCCCCATGCCTCCAACTTACTGTCTATACCCTTACCACATATCTATCTCTATTTAGCTAGTCTTATCCTTTTCTGTCAGTTCAGAGAATGAGATGTCTTACTCTGGATCATTTTATCCCTCCACCTGCAAACTTGACTCTCCAGCCCTACCTCTCAGGGAATCACACTCCATTAGTCAAACTCACTCTCATTTACTCTACAGTTTGTCCCATTTCCTGGGACCACTGACTAGTTTAAAAGTTCTTCCCCTTGACCAGGCATTTCTGCCTAGTTACTCTCTCCTTACTATTTTCTCTTTGAAATAAAACATGTTAAAATAACAGTGCAGAAGAGTGCTGTACAGCAGAAATATAAGGTGAGCTGCAAATGTGTCCTCATATATCATTTAAAATTTTTTATCAGCCATGTTAAAAAAAGGCAAAAAGAGAAATGTAAAATTATCTTATGAATATGTTAGTTGACAAAATATATAAAAAAAGGTTACCATTTCAGCATGTGATCAATATAAAAATTACCAGGGAAATGTTTTACATTCTCTCTTTCATAAGAAGTCTTTAAAATCCTGTGCACATTCTACACTTGCAGCAGATCTCAATCTGTTCTGGCCACATTACAAGTGTTCAAAAGTCACATGTGGCCAGTGGCTACGGTACTAGACAACACATCTGTCTCCACTTCTTGACATTCAATTTATCATAGTAGTTTCAGTTCACCAAAACTTTAGTCTTGCTAAGAATCCACAATATTGGATTGACAATGCAATAGAGAGATTCGGTCTCATCAAACAGCTATGTCTGATCTCCTTAAACACCAACTCCCTAAAATCGAAACCATTAGTTGGCAGCTGATACCCTGCACTCTTGTTCTAGAATCTCTCTCATCAGCCTTCTCTGTCTATGAGACATGGACTCCTGTCCTTCTCCCATTCCTTATGACCTGGTATTTAAGAGTTCCAACCTTTGATCATTGTCCTCACTCCAAACACTCTGGGGGATTTAACCCTCTCATATGTTAATGACTCTACACGTGATAACCCCTACACAAATCTATACCTCCAACCAGGCTACATCCTAATTGACTTCTGCATGTCCCACAGAGATTGAAAATTCTTCATGTCTAAAGTTAGTGACGATGTATCTTAGGAGGTAAAGAATACTGAGCAGTTACTGTGGGAGGGGTTGTTAAGATAAACCGAGGCAATCATGAAGTAGAATATAACAAGTGAAAGAGTCAGAGTTATCCTACAACTTCAGGCATTTTACTTAATCTCTCTAAATCCCAGTTTCACTGTGAGTGTGAGTAACAGTTACTACTATTTTGGATTATTGAGGGATAAATCTGATTTATGTTTAATTTGATTTAAAATATATGTATAAAGTAAAAATTTCTAGGAGAGCCAGATGGCAAGCTATATTAAATTTAAATTATATAATTTTAAAACATAAAAGATATTATGGCTATCATGCTTTATCATTAAAGTAAAATAATTCTGAGGACAGCCAAGCAGTTATTAATCTAAATAAACAAACTTGAACAAACTAGGTAACACTTGAGTAATATTATTTTTCTGAGAAATAGTAATTTTTACATAGCCAGCCTCTAATCATCTCTGTGGTTATAATATTTTCTTTGGAAAATATCGTGCATATTAGGACAGGATGTTAAAAATATGTCTATGCTCTAAATATTATTTGCTTTTGAAATATTGCTAGCACAATTCATTTCATGGGTCTCTGCTATTAACCATGTAAGCATAGATAGCATAATAATAAAGTCTTTTGGTTATGGGGTTGAATATAGCCCTATTTTATAGTAAAAGTATTTCAGTTTACTTGTATAGGCATTCAATGAAGCTTTACGTATGTGAACACACACCAACTTTTAAATAAAATCAAACAAAAAACTGTCCATTTAAAATGATTTTTTGAAACAGAATTTTCCTAAGGTGACTATATCCTACAAATCAAACATTCTTATTCAAGTACAACGGTGTTTCAAATTAATGCTCATTTATTGAGCAAGTTTTTTAAAAAATTGAATAACATTTCACAGAACCTCTCTTTACGTTCATTATGGATCAATTTTCAGGTATTAACTATCATAAAGCACTTTTGTTCTTCCTACAGTTCAAGACCTGAAACAAAAACTTTGTACAAAAACAAAAACTTTGTATAAAAACTCGCAAAATCTCAGTCACTGTGATCAGTCACGGCTGGTTGATTGCAGACTGGATCCATAAAGAAGTTTAGAAGGAATAACTCTGCTTGTTCAAACAAACTGGGAACCAGTAGCTGCCACAGCAAGGGGATGAAATCAGCAGAAGAGGAAAGGGGAAAGAATTTGAAAAAAAAAAAACCTATGGGCAGAAGTGTTTTGGTAGAGGTAAAAGCATCATCTTTTAAGAAAACCATGAAGAGTAGCTCCACATTTGTTAAAGCCTTGGTGTGTTCTTTAAAAAAAAAAAATTATTGAAATATGTGTTTGGCTTTATCACTGCTCATTATCTCTGTGACATCATTCATAATAGAGCCTGGAGCTGTTGTTTGGTCTTTCCTTAGTGTGGTGAGAACTTAGTGTGGTGAGAATGTATATTATGCTTTATCCATTCTGTTGATGAACATTTGGGTTATTCACAATTTTAAGTTATTATGAGTAAAGCTTCTATAAACATTTTTGTACATGTCTTTGTGGACATAAGCTCTCATTCCTCTTGGATATCTATAGCTAGTAGTGGGATTTCTAGGTCAGAGGGAAGGTATATAATCATCTTTAATAGACACTAACCTTTTCCTGAAGTGTTTGTATTTATTTACTCCTACCAGCAGTGAGTGTTCCACTTGTTCCACATTCTTGCCAATATTTGGTATTGCTGGTGTTTTTTGTTAGTCATTGTGAGTACATTATAGGATGGTATCTCTCTGTGGTTTTAATTAGCAAATTCTTGATGAGTAGTTATGGAGACACTTTTTCATATGCTTCTTGCTTATTCACTATCTTCTTTTACTGAGGTAGCTGTTAATTCTTTGCCTAGTCAAAAAATTTGGTGGTTTGCCTTTTTCTTACTGATTTACTGGAGCTCTTCATTGTGAAACATTACATATATATCTGACTTAAACCTCATTCCAAACCAGTGAATTGGGTCCTTCGCTATTGTCTTTTAATAGCAGAGAAACTGGAGACATGTTGGACTAAATTAACTTACCAAAATTAAATAGCTTGTAAATGGCAATGCTGGTATGACCCCAGAACTCCGCCTTTAATCACCTGGCTATACATCTTCACACAAGCAGCAATAGACTCTCCAGGTTATAAAAGGGTCAAAACTAGATCTGCTTCTACTGATAAAAGAGTCATATAAATCCTACCAGAATGGGAGAAAATATTTACAAAGCATATATCTGATAAGGGGTTAATATCCAAAAATATATAAGGTACTCAAACTTAATAGTAGAAAACAAATAACTTGATTAAAAATGGGCAAAGGATCTGAATAGACATTGCTCAAAAGACATACAAATGACCAAAAGGTATATGAAAAAAAAGCTCAACATCACTAATCACCAAAGATACGCTAATTAAAACCACTATGAGATACCATCTCACACCTGTTAAAATGACTATTATTGAAAAGAAGAAAGATAATTGTAGGAGAGGGCTTGGAGGAAAGGGAATCCTGCACACTGCTGGTAGGAATGTAAATTATCACAGCCATTATGGAAAACAGGATAAAGCGTCCTCAAAAAATTAAAAATAGAATTGCCATATGACCCAGCAATCCCACTACTGAGTGTATATACAAAGGAAATGAAATTAGCATGTCAAAGAAATATTTGCATTTCCATGTTTATTGCAGCAATATTCAAAATAACCAAGAGATGGAATCAACCTAAGTGCCCACCAGTGGATGAACAGACAAAAACATGTGGTATATGTATATAATGGAATATTATTCTACCCTAAAAAAGAAGAAAATCTTGTCATTTGGAACAAAATGGATGAACCTGGAGGACATTATGTTAAGTAAAATAAGCCAGTCACGGAAAGACAAATACTGCATGATCTCATTTATATGTGGAGTGCAAAAAAAAAGTTGAACTCATAGAAGTAGAGAGTAGGATTATGGTTACCACCAGGAGCTTTGGGGTCAGGGAGGAGGATTGGAGAGCTATATACATATTTCAAAACAACATGATGCACACAAAAATATATACTTTCTTTTAAAAAATTTTTGACTAGAGACAAAGGTCTTGCTAGGCTGTACTTGAACTCCTAGGCTCAAGATATCTTCCCATCTCCACCTCTCAAGTAGTTGGGACTACAGGTGCCTGCTACCATGCCTTATATACACAATTTTTAATTTGTCAATTAGAAAAATAAATTTTAAATTTATTTTTAAAAAGAGACATTTAAAATGTATTACATTACAAAGAATAAATTATATGGACATTAAGCATTTCTTATGAGAGGGAGGGTCAAGGAATTCATCAAAAACTTCACAGAAGTAAAAGAGCACATCCCGTAGAGGGCACGTGATATATTCGGGCTCCTGTAGCAATCACCCAGGTGGAATTGTACTGACCTCTATTCCTTTTGAAGGTGCTATCCTTTCTTCTGATAAAGGGTAAAACCAGAAACTTGAGCTCAACCGGTCATTAAACATTTGTTGACACTTTTTTTTTTTTTTAAAGGAGAAAGCTGTTAATTCCAGTGCCTCTGCCAAATTTCACTCAGGTAATTGCACAAGGGCACAAGGGTATTGCTGTAGGTAGGGAAAGTGTAAATTGGCAGAGCAGTTCAATGTGATCTGTCCTCTTGTTAGTTTCAATTAGATGAGTTAGCACTTTGCTTCCCTTCCTGCCTTTATATGGAATACCATGAAGTATCAAAGGGCTGCCTGTTCTGCCGAAGAAACTGGCTTCTTTTCAGGGGTTAAATGATCTTACTATATCCTTTCTTTGATGCAACACTTTTAAAGTTCAATTAGCTAATGTAAGGTTTACCAAGGGTAAAGCAGAATATTGTTATAAATTACTAACTATATTTAACTTTAGAGCTATTTAAAATATTTGGAAAAGAGGAGCTATAAAATAGCTCTCATCTGCATGTGCTAATCAGTCCTCAAATTTTCTGAATAACAGTAAAAATATAATATACCTAATGTAAATTTTACATTAAAAGAAAAGAAAGATCTTTATAAAGATGATGAACTAAAATGTCTGTTCTTAATCAGCATGGCAGTGATTCTTTAAATCCACTGTCAAACTACCTAATAAGGAAAAGCAAACAACTGAATGCTATTTGCAATTTCCAAATAACATCAGTCATTACCAATTGCCCTAGGCTTTTCTTGACCCAATACTGTACATGATTGAATAATCATCCTTTAATCAGTCCAGCAAAGAATAACTGCACCTTATAAGTTTTGAATATTTAGAACCAACTTTATTTCATTAGGCTTATCGCTAAATCAGAACACCCAGCTGTCTCTTATTGAACATAAAGTATATTTTTATTATAAAAATGAAAGTCAACAGTGAGTGTTCTATGAAAAATTATGGATTTAATTTTAGATTTCTGCTTTAACTCCAAAACGCAGAACCAGTGGATGGGAAATATTTTTCCTGCCCTTGAACTAAATACATCAGATTCCATCAATAATAAAGAAAAAATCCCATAGTTATAAACTTGTTTGCTTTTTGGATGCATGCCAGATCTGAAAAGGCAAAATTAAACTTAAAATTATCTTGAATGAAGGTCTGAGGTCATAGAATTCTTTAAAGATCCAGACAAGTGTGTTATTATGATTTTGGTTGACAGAATAATGCAGTTCCAAGTAGAAATAATTTCTTCTTTAAATTCAACAGAAAATCTAATAAAATCTGAAAATTATGTCAAACCATATTTGTTGGCCTCAGTAACCAATAAAGTCCTGAAGAAATGGCAGCGTTCTGATAGTGAATATGAGAATGCCATATGGGAATATGTCACATACACTCAGAATATCTACCTGCTTGCATTTAGTATTTTTAATATGAATAAAATAGCTGTTCTCAATATTGATTATTCTTTAGCTGATGGAAAGTAACCATCTGTGCCCTTCCTGCAGGGAAACTCTGTTTTGATCACGTGGAAATTAGACCGAGAGCAACGTTTTACTCAAAGCTCTACCCACATATACCGTGCTTTAGAATACAAATGGTTTTCATCCATGGTGGCTATAGTCTAGTAAATTCAAAAACACCCTGCTGGTCACGTCTGTCATTCAGTGTCTGATACTTTGATGATTAAACACATCTGTGGTTTTGTTTTTAAACACACTCGACCTACCTTGTTTTCTCTCACACATTCACCACTAAAAGAAACCTTCCACACCGCCTTATCTAAAGTATCTCCAAACTTGTTAAGTAAGCATTCTGAAACTACTCCTTCTTTGAATTAAGGTAAGATCCTTGATGGAATGTAAGTACTGACTCAAAGAGGATCAGCACAGATTTAGATCATGTGATTTAGGCTGAAACTAAGGAGTTAGGGTCCTAGGGCACAACATTTAAGGGTCCTGAGAATGAGTTTGTCCTTAAATTTAGTCCCCACTGGCCCTAGTCCTGACCCAACTCAGGGCACAGAAGCTCACAGAGGCTGAGGCTAGTTGAAAAGCCTAAAAAGAGAGCCCTAAAGGACAAGGATCAGGGGCTATGTGCTCATAGGTAGGAGGTTCTAAAAGAAAAAGAAGATGAAACAAAATAAAACAAATGTAGAAGCATCAAAGACAAACTCTGTGAGCTATTCTTCCTTGGGTTGATAGTTAGAGATGATATCCTGAACAGGGAACCAAAAATAATGAATGCTACCATTTCATCAATTAATGATATAAACATAGATTGCTGTAGATATAGTTTCACTGTTACTTCTTTAAGTCCAAATTATTTTATTTCTTAAGATTTCCCTTAATGTCTACCATTTTCCCTTTCTCAGTGTTCATCAATTTTGTAATTATTTCTTTGATCTTTGTCTTGCTTGTTTAATGGAATCTAAAAGTGTGCAGAAAGCTCATTCACTGCTGAAATATAAGTTTCTAGCATAGGACTGATATTTACTAGGCATTCAGTAAATAATCTGTTAATTGTATTGAATCATCTTGGACCCAATGAGTCAGTAAGAAAGAATTAACAGCGCTGTAACCATGTTTCCCTTGTTTATTCAAAGCTGGATTTTAAAAAGTAGCAGAGATTAATTTGGATCTTACAAATGATTGAAGGCAGAAAAAAATATGCCCAAACACATTAAAGATATTTACAAAAATTCTCAATCGCATTTTTCTTAGTGATTTTTGAGAGTTCCTTTTGGGAATTCTCTATATATTCTGGATACAAGTCCTTTCTCAGATATGTGTTTTGAAATGCTTTTTCCTAACCTGTGGTTTGTCTTTCTATTCTTGTTACAGTGTCTTTTGATAAACAGAAGTTCTGAATTTTATGAATTCTAATTTTATCTTTTATTTTATGGATTGTAGTTTAATGTCATTTCTATAAAATCTTTTTTGTAGCAATAGCCCAGATTCACAAAAATTTTCTCCATGTTTTCTTCTATAAGTTTTATAGTTTTCGTTTTTACATGTAGATCTATTATACATTTTGAGTTAGTTTTTGTATATAGTGGGGGACAAAGACAACCCAGAATTATTTTGTGGAGGGTGGGTCTCTTGTAGTATAGGTTTCTCCCGCTAGGTAAATGTCTTAGAAACCCATAGGCATCAGTGGCAGCTAGTGTTGTGAGAAGCTGCGTTGGACTTCAGTCAATTTTTTTTCTTGGAGATGCTTTCTTGGAGATTCTGCGTTTGGCTTCAGTACATTTTTTTTCCTGGAGATTCTTCTTGGAGATTGCCCGTTTTATGATGGGTGATTGACAAGCACATCTGCCCTCACCTGGCTGAATGTTCAGCAGTTTTTGACTCAGGACGGCATGACTCCCGTGCCTCACGCTCTCTATTCACCCCATCTGGCCCTAAGTGACTTTCTGGGGGTTTCTTTCTCCTGATGGAAAAAGTCCTCAAAGGGAAATGCTTTGCCAAAGTAGAGGAGGTGAAGAAACATGGCAGAAGCACTAACAGGCATCGAAACTGATGAATTCAAAAACTGTTTTGAGCAGTGGAAAAAGCATCTTGATAGGTGTATTGCATCAGATGGAGAGTACTTTGGAGGTGACTGAAGTTTAAACAAGTAAGAATAAATACACAATTTTAAAATAAATTCTGGGTCTTTTGGGTCTCCCTTTGTAAGAGTTATGAGTTGTATAAAGATTTTCAATTGTTCCAGCACTATTTGTTGAAAAAAAAAATTATTCATTCTCTGCTAAATACCTTTTCATCTCGTTAAAGACAATCAGGTTTCCAGCATATGTATGAGTTTATTTCTGGACTTTCCATTCTGTTTTATTGTTCTATGCAACTATCTTTTTGACAATATCACACTGCCTTGATTACTATACTTTATAAGTCTTTAAGTCAGACAATGTAAATCTTCAAATTTTGTTCTCCTTTTTTCAAAATTGTTTTGGCTATTCTAATTCCTTCACCGTTCCTTATAATTTTAGAATCATCTTGATAATTTATCCTAAAAGTCTTGAAGTTTGATTGGGATTACACTGAATCTCTATTAAACCCACTTTGAACTTTAAATACTTCAGCTGTGTCAGATGTGTAGCAGATACACTTCTAATATGAGTACTGCATGAGTCTACAAATCCTAGGAATGTAGGAATATAGGCAAGTCCCACTGGCTAGAGCTACTGACAGCTCACAAAAGTGAAGGAGTTACACAGTCTCTCCAACATAATGAAAATATTATCAGTTATGCGCAAGGAAGATAATATTATAACTTTTGTTTGTTGTCAAGTTCTTCACAAGATAATTAGTCTGGCAAAAGGTCCGTTCACCTTCTTACATCTATATTCATCTTTTGAGATTAAATCTTCTATCTGTCCCACATCTAAAAGAAGGAGTTTCTGAAATGCCGGAAGAAACTCATCTTATACAGTAAATTAACATAACACAGAGTAAACATTAGCACAACAATCTGGGAGCTTTCAGCCTTGTTTTGAAATGTCCATTTTCTTCATACTACTAGATCCTGCAAAAACATATAAAAGTATTTCACCTGGGTGAAGATCTGTACCTGGTTGGTTCGTCAGTCCTGGGAGAGATTCCTGCAACTGGTAAGTTGAGGCTGAAGATGATGTGCCATCGGCTGTGTTATTTGATGTCATATACGCCCCATATGTTGATGCTGAATAATACTGTGCATACTGGTTTTGGCCAAAGGCTGTGTAGGATGGATAATCCTGAAACAATAATTGAGAAGTGGGTGGTTGAAAGAGGAGAATTCTCCAAAGAAAACTAATCACTGTGTAATCAAAAGAGTAGTGCTCAATTCCATTTGTTTTTGAGTCCACAGCCTTGCGGTAATCCTAATGAGTGGAGACAACTTGGTGGTACTGTTTACATGTATGTAGTAATGAACTACCCTACTGGTTTTGCAAACCAGGCCTAGTACATACATTTTGATCTGCCTAAAGGTTGCATATGCTTCACTTTCCTCCTGATGATTACTTACCCAAGGATTTACATCATCAGGACCTATGTGCTTGAAGAGGAAAGAAGGTGATGGATCTGTTCATATTCACAAAATCAGTTCTTATACATCTTCTAATGTCACCAGCAAGGAGTTGTGGCTACTCCTCCCAGCTTCCATACAGACCTCGGTCTGCATTTGTGTGATTTTTGTTCCCTTTCTAGGAAACTCTTAATAATTTTGTTTTCTTGGCAGGCGGTAAAGTATAAATAAAAGAAGATAAATAAGTGCTATTTTAACCCAGGCTTTCACACAAGACATGCCATTTGAGGTCTTGACTTAGAATCTTTATTGAGGTTTTCAAATATGTAGTTTCCCTCCTCTGTTACAGAGAAAAATTAAAGCACCGTATCAACTCCCCTGACCTGCGTTTTATTTACAATTTTTAAAACCTTAAGATGATAAAAATGATTCCTCAAAAATCCTTTTACATATTAAGATGCGTAGGGATTTGTTGTAATAATTGGTGTTTAAAATGTCTAGCATATCTCAGATCAAAATGTTATCAGGAATGACAAATTGTTGGTCAGGATTAAGATCCCCTGAAAAGACATGTTCCAAAGGGAACAAAGATCCACATTTCATGTGTTTTCCAAGAAAAAGAAAAAAAAGAAAAATTATATGTATAAGTAAATATGTATATTATCAGAAAGGATTAATATGGCAGAAAGCTAAAATTCTGTTAATTTTAGAATCTGACATTCCCCCACTACCATGTATGAGTCAAGAAAAAAACCTCATCAATATTGGAACCAAGTTCTTTCTTTATTTATTTATTTATTATTTATTTATTTGTTTGTTTTTGAGTTAGAGTCTCACTCTGTCGCCCAGACTGGAGTGCAGTGGTCGCTCCACTGCAGCGTCGACCCACTGGGCTCCGGTGATCCTTCCGCCTCAGCCTTCCGAGTAGCCAGAATTACAGGCACGCGCTACCATGCCCGGTTGATTTTTATTTTTATTTTTTTATCAATTGTAGAGATAAGGTCTCGCCAAGTTGCCCAGGCAGGTCTCGAACCCGCGGGCTCAGGCAATCCACTCACCTCAGCCTCCCAAAGCACGGGATTACAGGCTGAGACACCGAGCCGGGCTTGGGAACAAAGTTCTTTTTTTTGAGTTGGAGTCAAGTTCTTAACAACACATCTTTCTCAGAGCTAAACAGCGAGAGCAAACATTTACATAGTGCTTACTTTGTGTCAGGACACTGTTCTAAGGGCTAAAATAGATTTACTCACCCTCATAATTCCCTACTTAGTATTATTATCTTCATTTTACATTGAAGGGGACTAAGGCAGAGAGTGGTTAAGTGATTTGCACACAGCCACATAGCCAGTAAGTTTCAGAGCTGGAATTGGAACCCACAGTGCTGAACTCTAGCCTCTATTGCTGAAGCTCTCTGCTAGCCTGCTAATAAGATGAAGTTACACAGAAAAGGTCCAGACTACTAGCCTGGGGAATAGAGTGTCTTTTTGTACTCAAGCACATCTCAAAGATCTCCTCTTCTCTTCATTGCCAGTGTATCCATTTTCTAATTTATCTCATTTCCATTTTTTACTTTCTCCAGAGACCCTGAAGGCAGAGTAATCTTCTCAAAACATAAATTATATGATGTTATTTTCTTGCTCAAAATCCTTTAATAGCTACCCACTAGTTTTGGAATAGAATCCAAATTCCTTACTGTAAACCACAAAGCCCTACATGGGCAGCCCCCTGCCTATCTCTGCAAATGTATTTTTCCCCACCTTTCTTCAAGCACTAACCAAACTCCTAATGAGTCTGGTGAGTCTAATGACACACCAAGTCTTCTACCTGTCCAGAGTTTGGTACAAGCTGCTTTCTTTGCCTAAAAGACCCTTGACTTCATTCTTCATCTAACTTGTAGAAGCCCTGGCCTAAATGTGATTTCCATAAAGAAACCCTCTATAAAACCTCTTCTGTTCAAAATTATACCCATTAATATTTTAATGGACGCTGTTCTCTCCCCTTATGCTTTCTAATCCATCCGTCCTTCCTTCCTTCCTCCCTCCCTTCTTTCCTTCCTCTCTTTCACTCTCTCTCTCCCCCCTCCCTCCCTTCCTTCCTCTCTCTCTCTATTTATTTGTGTGTTTACAGGTTTATTGTCTATTTCTCCTAGTAGGCAGAAAGCTTCATTAGGCAGGAATCAGATCTGATCCACCTCACCCCACCTTCAAGTCTCCCAGTATACAGAACAGTTCCTAATACTTAATAAGCACCCAGTGAGTATTTGCCAAAAGAATAAACTGATACTCAGGCCATGGCCCAAAATACAGATTACATTTTATATTGGGTCCACTGTATTTAAATATTCAGGTAGACTTGGATCTGTTTTATGATTAAAACTTTGTCAATTGATTTTCCTCTGCTTTATAAATCTTTTCTTAAACATTCCAAATAGAGTGGAGTTTTCCTTTATACTATCCCTCTACCTAGTGTGTATTACCATTATTATATCCATTATATCCCACCCTCTGTCCATATTATTTTAACATCTGTTTCTTCAGGAAGAATGTGCCTGAAGAGTTGAAAATGAGAACTTACTATTTTTGAACTGTCAGTACCTAGTAAAAATATCTAATGCATGCAATGCTCAATAAGTATCTACTGTATCAATCAGTGAGTGAAATTAAACTATCAAGAATTCTCAATTTCTTAAAATAAAATATGCACACTGGTTCTGATGTTTCATATTTTAAGATAACATTTTTCTAACTTATGCCAAAGTACACAGTTTAATCCTATCAAAATATTATTATTCCACACTATTTTAATAATCACAATTTCCTTTTTGCCTTTTTGTTATATTAATAAAACTAAAACAAGGAAACTAAAAGAATTCCTTCAGTAAATCCAAAAACAAACACTTGTACAGTAACTTACATTATGGAATGTATAAAAGCCCAGCAATTATATTAAAGTAAAATGGTGTATTTCCAGCTCAGAATTCAGTTACTCTTCAATCCCAATTACTCTGAGCATGGTTGAGAATGGACAACAGATTCTGAAGTTATCAACATACATCACAAATATATCTCACTCCAAGCTAATTCATTCATTCAGGGGCATTCACTCTTGCTCCACACATAATTCAAACAAGTTATATTTTAAAATTAATAAAAATATTAGGAGAACTAAGAACTACTAGAGGCAGGCACAATGACAAAAGCAAAAAGTTGCAACTTGTCAGGAAAGTAGGATTCAAACACTCATTAAAAGAAATCATAGAACTAAAAATTTAACAAATTTAAAAAGCCAAAAGTAGTTCTAGAGGCATTTTTTAGTAACAAATGATACTTCTTAGGAATGAAAATGTCATGTAGCCTACAGCACAATCCTTTCATAGATTTTTAGTTCAATCAATTAATATTCATAATAGTAACTAGTTTACCAAATAAAAATACAAGTATTTTTTCATATATTTTAAGATAAAAGAAAGTGTTCAAATATATTTTGTAACTCCATGTCAAGTGATTAAAACAACTACAGCTTAAATATTTAAAGGGCAAACTTTCAGCAACTAAGAAATCCATAACAGCCAGAATAACACATATTCTAAGAATTCTGGAGAAGCTTATTTTTTACTAGCCTGAAATCTTAATTTTAAATGAAGTAACCTTATTTTGGGAGAGTACACACTTACATAGCAACTTGAAAGTACTCCTCAAAGATCTGAAATAGATCTAAAAAGCATAAATACAAAAAGCTACTATACCTGTTGTGAACCACTGAAATTCGTTGAATTGGAAACTGAATTATTTGCATAAATAGTAGATGATGGTGCAAAACTAGAACCTAGAGGTAAGAACAAATTGCATTTAAAAAGTATTCCTTGTGAAGTGATGAAAAATATTTCACTTTGCAGAATTCAGTGAGAGAAACATACTTCGAATATTGTTGTGAAGGCAGTGAAATTGGAAGCTGGGAGATTTATAAAGATGATGTGCTTAGCTCTATCTATCTCCCTTGTTGGCAAACCTTTTCTTTTTGAATCTGCTGGGTTAAACAGAAGCACATCGGAACTGTCTTCATAAGGACTGAGGAAAAACACCAATGGTTGAATCTAGACGTGAGGGGCACTCAAAGTACAAAATCTTTTACAGACTAAGATGACTTCCAGGAACTACCGAAACTTTCAAATCATATCAACTGCATTTGCATTCAAAAACTACTTGAGGTAAGCATTTGGAGGGGGTTATTAGCATGGTAAATAAACACACAAAACCCATTTGGAATCCATGCTCAAATACTTCCGTACTTTTGCTTCTCCATGCCCTTTTTTTTTTTTTTTTTTGAGTCAGTCTCATTCTTGTCGCCCAGGTTGGAGTGCAGTGGCATGCTCATGGCCACTGCAGCCTTGACCTACTGGACTCAGGCAATCCTTCCACCTCAGTCTTCCAAGTAGCTGGAACTATAAGCATGTGCCACCACACCCAGCTAATTTTTTGATTTATTGTAGAGACAAGGTCTCACCAAGTTGCCCAGGTTGGTCTCAAACTCATGGGCTTAGACAATCCTCTAGACTCCCGAAGTGCTGGGATTACAGGCGTGAGCCACCATGACCAGTTTATGTCTTTTCTTTAGAACAAAAACAGTTGTGAATTAGCATTCAAACTCAAGGGAGACCTGCTTATACTCCAAAAATCTAAGGTTTAAGGGCCTCATTAAACTTCACCTGAAATTTAATTATTTCTCAAATAAAGGCAAAAACAAGTGAGCTATCAATTACAGATGAAAAAATATGTTCTTATGGAATATACTTGTCAAGCAGTAAAATGAAAGACTGGGTAGCTGATTATTTGTTTTATCAATGGGTTTTGAATAGCAACATATTGTATAATCAGTGCAACGGGCCTGATCAAAATAACAAATAAATTATTTGGGGAAAAAGTAAAAACGTCTCTATGCTCTCTGTCGCACAGCTAACTGAAGCTACGTGGCTATAGCATGTATGCAAATATGTTTCTAGCCACAGTCTAGGTAAAAAAGAGACCTTCTATTCCAGCCAAAAATGTCCAAGTAATTATTTCATTCTAGCCAACTGAGCAAAATGTCATCCCGGTTGGTTCAAATATGTTAATACAGTCCCAAGTTTGTGACTAACAAAACAGACAAAATGAAAGAAAAGAACCAACTTTTAGTGTTTCTACTATGTTACTAAAATTATTTTGACAACTATACATAAAGATCAAATATCATTTTTAATAGGGTCAAAAATTTAAAAACTTTACAAATGAGCCTACATAGAATTTTGGGTGGTGAGACACATAAAAAGTCCTATCAATAAATATAGTATCAAAAGGAGAAAGAGATCTTAGGAGTGGACCAAAAAATCCTCAATTGCTAAATGACAAGTGGAACTTAGAAAAGAGTTAATTCACTTATAGATATAACCCAAACAGCATTAGGTACTTAAGGAATATGGAAACGGAAACACCAGTTTGTGCTACGAATCTTTTAAGCCACTTGAGTAGACACCAAACGTGTGACTGACCTGGTGTCTGGCTTGGAGGTTGCTTGGCTTGGACTTGGTTTCCTGCCGACATTATGCAGTTTAAATGGAAGTATTTGAATCTGGTATGGGTCATGTTTCTCGATGTATTTTTCAACTATTTTCGTCATGTTTCTGCCTAGTTTATTCATCTTTTCTGGAGAAACTGTGTGAGCTGTGATAAAGTTTAAAACTATCTTCATGACCAGGTATTCTGAAGTCTGAAGCCAAGGTGTCTCAACTCAGAGTAGCTCCCCCATAACCTGGTTCACGTGTGACGACTTACCTGGCATTTGGTAGGAATAAGGTGTCTGGCCTGGCTGGGGGGTGGAAAACCCTGGGCTGTAACTGAGGCAGCCACTTTGTAATGGGGACTGAGTTTGGGAAAGTCCACTCTCCGTCTTGATCGCTGGCAACATCACACCCAAATCTGTTTAGGAAATGCATGCACAAACCATTGAATTAGCAAGAGCCTCTTCCTTCTAAGTTGTGACTTACAACTTTATATTAGAATATAAAGCTACCAGCTAGCAGGATTACCTGCTTACAACCAAATAGGGGAGAAGATAGAAGACATGAAATACCGTAAGTGGGCAGGCTGTAGGGTTGTCCTGTCTGTGAGTAGGCTGTGTAGACGGCTGGCTGCTGCATCCCCGAATACTGAGTCTGGCCTGCGTAGGCAGACATTGTTTGAGCTGCTGGTGTAGAAAGAATGTGTGGATAGGGCCTAAATATCAGAAAAATAGCATTACTGTGGCAACAAAGACTGCATATTAATTCAGACAGCCTAGATTCAGTGAAATCCTATAATCTTCAGGAAGTAATCTTCCTCTTTATCTACAGTATAATTTTAACAACATAGGAAAGAACATGAGTCTGAATGTCCAAAGTCCAGCCTCTGCTTAAATCAGTCTGGTGACCTTGGAAAAAAAATGTAAACTACCTAAGTGTACACCTCACTATAAAATGAGAAATTTGGGTTATATATTAATATTGAGTGTCTCTTCCAGGTCTATAATTTTTGTTTACAACTGAAAAAGCACTTTAATCTGTAGATGAGGAAAATGGAGCACAGGCTAGCTAATTAATATACTCATGCATATTTACACACACCGAGTCACCCAATAATATGAAATAATTCTATTTAAAAGTCCTATCAAGAATTCCTTACTAATAATTGAAAATCTGAAAAAAAAAATAAAAAAGACAGGGCGCAGTGGCTCAAGCCTGTAATCCCAGCATTTTGGGAGGCCGAGGTGAGAGGACTGCCTGAGCCCATGGATTCTAGAACAGCCTGGGCAACCTCGCAAGACCTCATCTCTACAACAAATTTAAAAAATTAGCTAGACGTGGTGGTGCATGCCTGTAGTTCCGGCTACTTGGAAAGCTGAGGCAGAAGGATTACCTGAGCCCAGCAGGTTGACGCTGCAATGGCCATGAGTGTACCACTGCACTCCAACTGGGGCAACAGAGTGGGACTCCACTTCCCCACCCCCCAAAAGGTAAGAGGCTTCCTAAAAGAAATGGAATGCCATTTCTTTCATCATGCTACATTTTACATAATGTTCCCCATTGCACAGCCAATCCCCAGCTTATATATACTTAAGAGCAGACATGCCAGATGCTGCAAAAAATAGCATCCTATATTTAAATGTGTATATATTAGGAATTCAAAATCTTGGCACATGTGGCTGATTCCAAACAAACTTAGATATATACTCAATATAGTTAAACTTGAAAAATATCTACCACCATTCTCAAAAAGATGATTAGATTAGTATAAAAACAAAGCATATGCTCCAAAAATATGTTTGTTAGAACTTGAAATCCAATAAAAATATTTCATTGATGGAAAAAAATTATGACATTGATGTTTATATAAATTGTAATCTCTTTAGATATTCTTTCAACTAGTATTTTTTTGTTTTGAATTTTAAAAAAATGAACAGTGCATACTGGTTTGAGCTTGCCGTTTTCCTCAAAGTATATAAATAGCCATAGTCAACAACTATTTATCTATAATACATGAGTATACATAAACGTTTGCAGATTTAAAGTTGTTATATTGTGTGAATACAGATGAATAAAGATAATTCTGGACAATTATTCTAACAAATCAGAAAAAAAATCTACTGACCACTTACTTGGAAGGATACAGCTGTGGAGAATATTGATGTGCCGATCGAGGGCTGTAGCCACTACTTGTTATGACTGTAAGACACAAAACACCAGTGCACAAAAGGTTGTTTCATAAATGAATTTCACTAGAATGTACATAACCAACTTGAAGAAACTGCCATGCTAAATACAGGCTTCTAAAAATTCATTCATTTTCTAAAAGGAAACAGCTGCCTAAACACTTTCTCCTACTTAAATGCTTTGAGTTTTGTTCTAAAAGCATGAAATGAACATTCCTCTTACAAATCATTCCCCTATCACTCTTCCATTTTCACAAATCAGTAGCATGTTCTTATCTATGAAGTTGCTATGAATACATATCTTTGACTATATGGCAATGAATTTTTCATGATATAAAGGTACATTTTAAACATTTGTAAACTTTACATTTTAAATTTCAAATATGATAGTGATATATACTGCTCTTCCTCCATATTTATTCTAATTCAAATGCAATCAAATTAAGAAAAGTCTGACGTTCTAATCTTCACTTTCTAATTGGTATTGCATTCTATTTCCTCTCATTTTACCAACCAGATGAATTGTTACAAATGCAGAGTCACCAATATTCTAGTAATAATTGAAATATACATAGAAAGCATGAGTGAATGCAAAGCTTGTCTTTAAAACACAAAGACAAAATGCAGTAGCAACTATATTTCCAAATATATTGTGAATTATCAGAGACAATACTTTTCTGAGAAGCATTTAAAGGTGAGATTCAGATCCAATTGACAGCTCATCCAAACATGCAGCCCCAAACTGGAATATATCCAAAAATCTGGAAGTTTCTCTTTCCTTTAACCATCTGCCCTGACAAAGATAGATGTATTGCAAATATATGGACTCTAAAGTGTTCAGCCAGTCCCTTCAGAGCCAGTCCATACTGAGCGAGCACACAGAGTGTCTTTATTAGGCCATCTGCTGTTCATTCACTTTTCAAAAAGATTAAAGTAGTACACAATGCAGTGCTGGAATTAGTTTAGTCTAATCAATCATGGTTATACTTCAAAGTACAGTGTCCTTTCTACATTGTTCATAATAATTCTGGAGCTAAACTTTTGGAATTGTAAAAGTGACAAATAGGTTTAAGTTGCTAACTGTTTTATGAAACATGATACATTTCTATATCCAAATGCTATTAAGTGCCCTTGTGATATACTGCCTCAAAAACTTGCAAAATTTAATGTGTTTAAAATGTTATGTTGTCTGTAAGTTCTGAGTATATTTTAGTTTTCATAGCAATATGAAAAGTATATTTTACTTTTCATAGCAAGAGTGCAGTAAGTATATTTTCAAGAATATTATGAATTAATTTTGTAAATCATCAAATGTAACGAAAGGTGTTATGTTCTAAATTCCTCTGCCACCAACATTTAACTGGATTTGCTATATATAGTTGAAAATAAATTGGTTGATAAATTTTAATTTTCTACTTATTTATTAAAAATGTAAAGGATGTTTAAAACTTTCAAATCAACTCGAGAACAGACTGTTTTTACTACATATGACACTAAATGTATATTACATAACAACAGTGCTATTCCACAGGATGTTCATTCTAACTTATTAATTTACAGTAGTGAGTACTCTATTTAGAAGAAATATAGTTGGATTAATTACAGGTTCTTATGTCTCTTTTTTGTGGAACTTCTTTTTGGCACATATAAGACATGGACTATACTGATCAGTTATTCCCAAAATTGTAAAATAGAAGGCTTTTCCAAAGAGACAGTGAATAATGAAAAAGAAACATTCGCTAGAGCAGCTTGGACTAAATAAGACAAATTTTTTTATATTTCATAAATTATATATATTTCAGAAAAATTTTATGTATTTCAGAAAAGAACCATATACATGAATTCAGTTATGAATTAACTGATGCTTCTTTCTGATGATTCTAAGCATCATTAAAATAATGTACGTATAAAATAACAGCATATAAGGGCTCAACTAACATTTAACTTTTAATATTGATGTCTATATGTTCATTTTCTGCATAGACTACACAAACTGTGGCTCAGAAAACCAAGATGTCCATATAAAAAATAAAAATTGGAGAGGTTATGCTTCTTTACTAAAATGTATACATTTTATCCTAACTCATAAATTTTGCAGATAACTGAAAATAGCCCCAAAAGTGGATTAAAGTGAATTGTAATGATGCTGATTGAAGCAAAGATTATTCCTACAAAGGGCAGCCTGACCTCCAGAATGATTTCATGTATGAATATCGTGTATGAACTTGGAAGACCTTTGTTTTATTCCCCAATGTCATTTAACTAGTCATAAACATTGCTCAAAACACTCAGTTCATTATATTCCATCATTTCTATATACAAAAGTAAGGAATTTTCAGGACTTGTCTTTTAAATGCCCTGAAAATTAATTAAAACAAACTATTTAATACCTGTTGTCCTTTTCTCAGATGGTGTCAAAGTAATTTTAAGGTTTTATTCTTTTTTGTTGTTGTTGTTGTTTTGTTTTTTGGGTTTTTTTTTGAGTTGGAGTCTCACTGTGTCGCCCAGACTGGAGTGCAGTGGCCGCTCCCGGCCACCGCAGCCTCGACCTGCTGGGCTCCGGCGATCCTTCCGCCTCAGCCTTCCGAGTAGCCGGAATTACAGGCGCGTGCTACCACGCCCAGCTAATTTTTTGATTTATTGTAGAGATGAGGTCTTGCCTGCCCAGGCAGGTCTCGAACCCGCGGGCTCGGGCAATCCACTCACCTCAGCCTCCCAAGGCACGGGATTACAGGCTGAGCCACCGAGCCCGGCTTAGTTTTATTCTTATTATCATGACTTCTTCGATCAGTGACTCTCGGTGGAATGAGAAATGGGAGGTGGTGAGAATTTTACCTGCCAGGGGATGCTTAAAACATCTGGAGACACTGCTGGTTGTCACAACTAGAGGGAGCTCCTGGCATTTTAGGACAGATGCAAGGATGCGGCCCAATTTCTTAGGATGCAGAGGACAGCTCCTCACAATAAAGAATTCGTCCAAATCTTCAACAGTGTTGCTGTTGAGTGTCCCTGCCCTAATCACTGCTGCCAAGTAGAACTTTCCCTGGTGTTGGAAATGTTCTACATCTGAGTTGTCCAACATGGTAGCCACGGGCCACATGCAGATTTTAAACACTTGAAATGTGGCAGATGTGACTATAAACAAATTTTTTTTTTTTTTTTTTTGAGTTGGCGTCTCACTCTGTCGCCCAGACCGGAGTGTAGTGGCCGCTCCCGGCCACCGCAGCCCTGACCTGCTGGACTCTGGCAATCCTTCCGCCTCAGCCTTCCAAGTAGCTGGAACTACGGGGGTGCGCTACCACGCCTGGCTGATTTTTGATTTATTGTAGAGATGAGGTCTCGCCAAGTTGCCCAGGCGGGTCTCAAACCCACGGGCTCAGGCAATCCACTCACCTCAGCCTCCCAAAGCGCGGGATTACAGGCTGAGCCACCGAGCCCGGCTATAAACAAAATATTTAATCAAATTTTAACTTAAATTTAAATGGCCACATAAAGTTAGTGGCTACTTTATTAACCAGAACAGCCTTTGATAATTCTTCAAAGAAAACTGGGGAAATATCTATAAAGATGGCATGAGTGAATTTCAGACAGGATGATTATTCACACCTATTTCTTTTTCCATCTTTCTATTTTCTTTTCTTTTCTTTCTTTTTTCTTTCTTTCTTTCTTTCTTTCTTTTTTTTTTTTGAGTTGGAGTCTCACTCTGTCACCCAGGCTAGAGGGCTTTGGCACGCTCACAGCCACCACAGTCTCGACCAGCTGGGCTCAGGCGATCCTTCCACCTCAGCCTTCCAAGTAGCCAAAACCACAGGCACCATCATGCTCAGCTAACTTTTCTTGATTTATTGTAGAGAAGAGGCCTCGCCAAATTGCTCAGAATGCTCAGACCCATGGGCTCAGGCAATCCTCTCATCTCAGCCTCCCAAAGTGCTGGGATTACAGGCGTGAGTCACTGCGCCCGGTTTGTCTTTCTATTTTCTGGTGAAATATTAAGGAAAGGACTTAGGGAATGATAAAGAGGCTCTGGTTTTAGACTCATTTATACCACTAACCAGTTGTGAGACCTTGCCTGTGTGGCCTTAACCACCTTTAACTTCTCTGTGTCCCTTGGTAATCTTGTCTATAAAATGGATTGGAGAGCTTTGAAGTTCCTTCTAGAGCTAACCTTCTATAGTTTTGTCATTCAGCTTTTAATTAACTTGCAGTATACTACTGAAGTATGTCAGCAATTATTTAATAATCCCATTCTTTTTCTTAAAACATGTTCACAGACATTTACTTTGCATAAAGTTTGCAATGGCTATAGTAAGTGAGCAATGCAGAATGCTAGAGGAAGCTGGTACCTGTTTAACTCCTGGGAAACATGAATTGCTAGAAAACATGTCGATTAGCACATATGAGTCTCTGTGCAAAGTTTACGCACTATTATTTATTTCTGTTTGGAGGACAAATGTTTATGCAAATACATGGTAAATGCTTCCAATCGGTGTGAACTAATAAAATCGGATCCTCTTTAAAATAAAATATACGCTACAATGACATTATACTCAAGGACATACCTCAACTATTTTTACATAAAGCATACCCGCATAAAATCCCTGTAACACGAGAACATGGATAACTGTAAAATATATTAAAGTAGAATAACAGAACCAATACTTAATTACCATAAATTCTTTCCTAGGTTTAATGTTCATCTCTCTAATATACACATTCCTCTTCAGGTTAAAAAAAGAATCTTTTCACCAGATAAAAGCCAAAGAAAATACTGTAACTTAAAAAAAAAATCTTTAACTAAGTCAACATAATTCGTGCCCTTTGTGCCCAGCTGGGAGTTATCAGGAATTTATATTTAAAAAGAATTGATGTTTAAAGACGTGCTATTGTTCTCTTTGAAGCATACCAGTGTTCTCAGAGACTGAGTCTAATGCAACCAGCATGTGTTCTCCTGCAGCTCATTAACCTTTGAGACTTGTCACTCAGCTGCTCACACAGGAGGAGTTTTTTTAAAGCCAGGGAGGAAACAAGGTTATTTAGAAGAAATCAGATGAATAGTTTTACATTTTGAATGTTGGACAGAAGGTAGTTTTTATGTAATCTAAATGGGAAAGTTGAAGGTACAAGGTGGGCTACTATAACCTAATTATTAAATCAACTAAACACCGTATAAAGTAATTTCAAAGGAAGCCAGTTCTAGCTCTAGAAGGAAAGTCATGGGACGTTTGCTGTCAACTGAAAATCTAACAAAGTGATTCTAAATATTATTTCTGAAAATACACAGTTTTATGACAATTCATTCTCAAAAAAAGGAAATTTGTCGCTAACTTTAGAAAGATATAAGTTCCAAGAGCTTTGATGTTTATGCTGCTTATTCACAGGGAGGAAGATGCATAGGAACACCCATGTGTATGTAAGGACACAGCTAAAGGCTTTACCTGACCCAGTAAAAGTGTCAAGCGCTCCATCTCCAGTCGTGGTTGTGGTTTCACTGCTGTTCAAGGGCTCTGTTTTGACTGCAAGAAGAGACACTACGTAGAAGAATAAGTACAGGTGAGTTTTACTGCTAAATTTATATTAAAGACCCTGATGGTTCCACTAGTGATTTTTCTAGCTACCATGGGCATGCAAGAGAAAACCTGAGAAGCTGACGAGGAGAGTTGTGTTAATTGAGCTTCTAAATGGGCATGCATTTATAAAGGATCTAATCTTAAATCTTCAGGATAAGCTGGTTCTCTGGAATCTGGCTTTTAAAGGGAGTTAACCTTAAAGAGTAAAACAGTAGTACACATATTTGCATTTTAACTCACCTAAGCACGCTCTAACATAGTCAACAGACAGAAAAAATGAGTCATCATCATCAGTCTTCAGCACATTTAATCCAAATCATAATGAGATTTACTAGCTTATACTTTATTCTTCCCAGGAAGATATTTTTAAGCAACGATTGCATAAGAGTACAACGGAGGCATATGTAAATACAGAAACCATGGCCCTATTTACATAAGGGGTGAAAAATGAGGCACTCAATAAAAGTTCTGCTCTAAAAAAGACTATAGAGCCTTAATGTGTTGGACTTTTTATTTTGACATTTCACTGGGTTATGGAGATAAGCATAGAATAAGAGATGACTTCAGCAACAAATACATTTTTTGAAAACTCTTCTAATATGTTATTTCTACTTTGAAGTAGTGTATTTTGACAAATCCTTACTTGGCAATGAAGTAGCCTGGCATACATTATTATCATTATTAGATGCAATGTGGAGTAGGGGGCAGTGACAAAGCTTCTACTCATTTGGACACACCATATTTTCCCCTTATTGGTAATGCTTTGCTACATATATCACAGCAGCAAGGAAATTAAATTATTTTCTACTTAATACCTCTTGTGTCTCCTGGTCATAAAAGACATGAAATAATACAGTTAAATAACTTAGAAGCAAGCAGAAAACTATAAAGAAGAAAGCTGAAGACTAGCCAAATGGCAAAATAGTGGAATCATAGGTACCTACCTACCAACCAAGCATGTCAGTAATGTTACTGCTGTTAGAAAAATGATTAATTGATGGAAAAGCATGCCACAATTAACCAAACCCTTCAGTAATCTCTGGGTTAATTGAGTATCCATGATTAAATAATGACATGATGATTTGCTAGAAGATTCAGAGGAGAAATGTAATAGTTGGGAAGAGGAAGAAAAATTTATTAGATTACTTATCCTAGCAAAAAGGAAACTTAAAGCTGCCAGTCCCTCAAAAGCAACAATACTCTGAGGAGTAATTTCTAATTTTTTGTGTAATTGATTACTGTGTAAATTACTTTTCTGCAGTAATTTGCACAGTAGTATTTATTATGGTTATATCTGATCTATGACTAAACTTATCTACAAAATTTTTGCCTACTTTTGTATTTACTGCTACTAAATTATTAACTATTTATTGAGAGCTTACTATGTGCTAGAAGATGTACCTTTAGCTCATCCTTGAAACAACCCTGATAGACATAAATCGCTATATCCATTTTATACACAAGAAAACTGAAGTTCAGGTGGGCAGAGAAACTTGTATAAGTTACAGTGCAGGAGCTGAGAGAACTAACATTTGAATTTAGGTTTTTAAGCTCTAACATGTGACCTTCAACCATTAACAGGTTGCCTTCAGGTATAACAATGGCTTGGGTTCATGACAGTGACGTCACAACGGCTCAGAGAACGATAAGATAACCTTATAGAATAAGAATAATTAGACATACTTTAATAAAACAAAAGACTGCAAAATATGGGACTGGACTTCATACACCATTTCTTCCTCATGGCATATTTTCAAAGAGAACAAGAAGTAGCAAGTTTGAACGCAAATAACAATAACTGCACACACTTAAAAGGTCCTTCATATATTCTAGGCACTGTTCCTGTGCTTTACAGGTATTAACCCATTTACTTCTCACAACCATCAGTAGATGGTATTACCATCTTCTTCTTCAAATGAGGAATCTGAGGTGCAAAAAAGGTAATATAACTTGGTCATAGTCACAGAGCTAGCAAGAGCCAGAATTTGAGATCAGGTAATGCGTGCTCAGAAGCCAGACTCCAAACCATACTACCCTTCAGGCAACACTAATTTATCAAGAATTCCTTCCACTTGTACAAAAATAATCCAGAGGATAATCTAGATGGGTATAGAGGTTGTTCTCTGTCATGCAATACCCACATTTGACTTCTGACATTTATGACAAAAAGGCATAGTCAAAAACCTTCAGAAAAAACTAAAACAAGGGATAGCTTCTTAGCACTCCTAACTTCTAATTGTGGCTAACTTCTTATTTAAACATCGATGTCTACAAACAATATTTTAAAAATAGATTTACTATAGTAATAGTAATAGGTATATTTCACTTGTGAATGGGTGCTGTGCCTAACAAAACTGGTCTAGAAGCTAGACAAGAAGATGAGTATTAGGGGGTTTTTTGTGTTTTTTTGAGTTGGAGTCTCACTCGGTCGCCCAGACTGGAGTGCAGTGGCCGCTCCCGGCACCGCAGCCTCGCCTGCTGGGCTCCAGTGATCCTTCCGCCTCAGCCTTCCAAGTAGCTGGAATTACAGGCATGCGCTACCACGCCCAGTTGATATATTTTTTTTATTTATTGTAGAGATGAGATCTCGCTGCCCAGGCGGGTCTCGAACCTGCGGGCTCAGGCAATCCACTCACCTCAGCCTCCCAAAGGCGCAGGATTACAGGCTGAGCCACCGAGCCCGGCTGAGTATTGGTTTTTATTCAATGTTCCTGTACTTGAATGTTTCAGGGAGTCAAAAGAAGAAAGAGGAGGGAGATAGTTTTTTGTTTTCATTAATCATATGGGAAATATCTCTCATTAAAAACTTTAGAGGTCTGTCTTTAGACAAGGGCAAAGAAGTTTCATTTTGCTGAGAAAAGGTACCCCAAGAAAGTATAGGGAGAGGAGTAAAAAGCAAGATGTGTTCAGTGTACTAAAATGCGTGGGTATTAAAGTAGTACTTCAACAAAATGGATGCTAATGGGAAAATGGTGCATGTGAATATAAAATTGCTTTTCATATGAAGGTAAGGGCAGAACAAAAGAGAAGATGGGAAATAAATCAGAAAAGAAAATGAGTAGCATTAGGTAATAATAAATAATTTGATATTTTCAACGATAGCTTAAATAGAGAAGTAAAATGGACACTCCTTATGTTATTAGTTGATTAATTAAAAATATGTTAGAATACAAAAAAGTATCATCTTGATATTCATATAATGAGTAACTAGTAAAAAATTAAACATTATATAATGATTATAGATAAGGTTGGAGAATGGAAGTTATTGCAATAGAAGCTCCAAATATATTTGAAATGTATACTTTTTCTTTTACCTAGTTTTTTTCCCATGCTTTATATTAGATATTCTATATACTTTTCTTGTGGCAGGAAACTTATTTTATGTTAACAATTGCAAAGATATTCCTTAACAAGGCAAATCTAGTCTTACTATTTTTTAAACTTATGAAATCCTCACTGATATGTTCAACTGTATTTTTAGACTATATTTTGTTTTTCTTAAATTAACATAAAGTTTAAGCAGGGTTTTTTTTTTTTTTTACTTATCTTCAGGACAATGCCCCAAATAATTGTACACTATAAAATAGAAGCAAGATCCTTCTATAGATGAAAGCACCATATTTCTCAACAAAATTCAAACTTATACATTAAATGTTTTTATTTCAAAAGCTACAGTAATATTTTAGTGTTCTGGGTTGAAGAGTTTTGTGGGTTTATTATTCAATACACTCAAAATCAATGAGTCAGTCAGTTCATTATCCTAAAAGTGAAATAAAATAACTTTATATAGCACTTTGTACAGAACCATTATGTCAAAAATTACTTATATAACTCTGGTCCTCCTCCCCATTAGTCATCTGCAATTAGGATTTTTAAAAATACAGTCAAATAGTCAAAATAAACAGATTAGATTAGATTAGAAAGATAGATTGATGATAGGCATACACGATTGGATTTTGCATTGTAGCCTGAAAAATTGCTCTATATGGACTAAATCAAGGCACATGTGATTTTCAGGTGTTGGTTATGGCTACTAAATCATTGATTTCCTCTCTTTACGTCCAAACCTTCAGGCTACTCCCACACAGGTATTCTCAAAGCAAGTTTTATCTTGTTCCCTTAAATTGTCTTTAGAATTTAAATGTAACATTAATGTATATTGCTTATTTTTGGAGAAGTCTATTATCATAACTCAAATTTCGTATTCACTTGTTTCCATATCAGGCTTAATCCTCAGAAATCTGTGTTTAAATTGGTGTCTGTTTAAAAGACTACATATATGTGATTCCACGTACACTTCTTTCTGAACCAGAAAATCACACAGAAAGGCACTGACAGCTTGGCTTCTACAAAGAATTTCAGGAAGAGTTAGATCAGGAAAGTTACAATGATAACACTGCAGGGAAGCAGTTAAGTATTGCTTACTGGTTTTAATAATTGGAACAGTCTATGATTTATACTTGTCTAAATCAACAGATTCCCTAAAAAACCCACGTATCTTTCATTCTTAACAACCCATAAAGTATTTAATTCTGTAAAATAATTTGATAAAGCAATTTATGACTTTTATTCTAAAAAATAAAATCTACAAAAAGCCACAGCAGTGAATGGCTCTACTGCACAACTACATAACATTCAGAAACAAATTTATTATCATCCAATCATCTATATATTAAAAATTCAGTCAGATTATTTCTTATAATATACAGATTTCAAGTGTAGAAAACACAATCAAATTGACAGAATGTCTGATTTTTGTTCCCCCAAATCTTTTCTTTTTCTTTTTTTTTTTTTTGAGTTGGAATCTCACTCTGTCACCCAGACTGGAGTGCATGGCCGCTCCCGGTCACCGCAGCCTCGACCTGCTGGGCTCCGGCGATCCTTCAGCCTCAGCCTTCCGAGTAGCCGGAATTACAGGCATGCGCTACCACGCCCGGCTGATGTTTTGATTTATTGTAGAGATGAGGTCTCGCCTGCCCAGGCGGGTCTCGAACCCGCGGGCTCAGGCAGTCCACTCACCTCAGCCTCCCAAAGGCGTGGGATGACAGGCTGAGCCACCGAGTCTGGCTCCAAACCTTTTCTTTGAAGTCATTTATTAGTCTCCATGTAGAAGCAAATGTTCCCTCCCTCCATGGTGCGTCAGCCTTGAACACGTTATGACGTTCATTATTTTCAGTCTGTTTCTTTGCTAGACTTTTGGCCCCTGGATGGCCAGTAATCTTTAGATTACTGAGTTCTCATTTCCTAGCACAGAACCTGGCATGTAATAGGAACTTAATATATTTTAAATGAACGAGGAAAATGAAAGTTCACTCTTGTAGACCCCGCCTTTAGTCCTCCCAAAAGATCTAGGTATTTTCGCATGCATACAAAGTGTAGTTGATCATGAATCCTGACACCATGAAGCAAACTAGAATCTGGAATGACCTATATCTGGAAGTAAGTTTTCATATGACTGGCATGCATTCTTATATGTGCAACATACTTTATGTATATGCATATATAAATCTACATAAGAGGTTGTGCTATGTCTGATCCATGGCCTATTTTTATATGGTCCATGAGCTAAGAATGGTATTTACCTTTTAAAATGGCTGAAAATTATCAAAAGAATAATATCTTGTGACATAAAATTTTTAGTGAAATTCACATTTCAGTGTTCATGAATCAAGTTTATTTACACACAGTCACGGTCATTTGCTTAGGTATTGTCTACAGCTTCTCTTGTGCAACTGCAGAGCTGAATAATTACAACAGAGATCATAACGGCCCACAAAGCCTGACTTCTGATTTATTAGCCGAGGTGAGGTATGATTGCTTTTTTCTATTTTCACATTTTACATTTTATCAATTTTACAAGAGCTTAAAGTTTGAAAGGAAAACCTAGGTTCCGATATAGATCCACATATGTAGTTATATAATCAGAGCTAAGGTGATTAAACACTTTAAATTACTTTAAAGAATAATGCAACACACTTAAACAGCATCAACACAGTATGATAAAATCTTAAGGTGATGCTATCACTTTATATTATAAAAACCATATAATTAAATTATCTTTGTGAACATCTCAAGTTGCTGGAAAGATCTTGAAAAGTCATTAAACTAGTGCTTAGCTTTTGCATTGAGTTTTATTGTAATAATTTTACAAAGTGATCCAAGTCTAACAATAAACCCAGAATTAAAAATAAAACAGTTTATTTTTAATAGGAGAGATTATACAACGAATGCTTAGTTTATGTCATAAATACCTAGCATACAAATGTCATTAAAGTTCACTAAAAAATTCATATAATGTCACCAGAACTATACTCTTAATAATCAAAGTATACCTAACATTTTGTTACTAAAAGTTTGCCTTCGTAACTACAGTATAAACATTTCTAAATGGAAAATAATTTGCTATCTGACAGAATACTGGAGAGTCTTTTAGCACAATGCATGTTTTCATTTTCCTTAAAAAGTTGTTGCCTAACTGTTATTGAACTATGAATTAAAGGAAGTATATACTGATATTTTTTGTTAAGCAATTTATATGAATGATCTAATTTAAGACAAAGCCTTGCCAGAGATGTGTTTTTACCCTCCTTTTTATAGAAAGGAACTGAAGCTCAGAGGGGTTAAGTAAGTTGTTCAAGGTGACACAGTGAGTAGTGCTAAGATCCAAATCTGAAGGCTGAGGCGGAAGGATCACCTGAGCCCAGCAGGTCGAGCCAATTCAAAAAAAAAGAAAAAAAGAAAGATCCAGATCCATAGCATACCTGACAACACAAGTCCTTGTTTTTCCCACATGGCCACATGAGTCCTAACACTAACATTAAGAATCAGGAAAGTTGGATGCTTAACACTTGGATGTAAATAACTAAAGATTCATTGCATGTATTCACAATTACAGCGTTGCCTGTGTGAAGCCCTCCTTGAGAACCAACAACCAGTGACCTAAGAATTTTTAAAACATATTAAATGTTTTTAAAAAATTATCAGAATTAGAATGTTTTATGACATGTGAATATTATACACAATTTAAAATTGAAGGTCCGTAAATGAAGTTTTATTGGAACGTAGTCACGTTCATTCATTTACATGTTGTCTATGGCTGCTTTTGCACTATGAGGAGAACAGAGCAGCTGAAGGAGAGACTTATGGCCTTACAAAGCCAAGCATACTTACTATCTGACCCTTCACAGAAAATGACGCCACCTTAGAATGAGGAGCAACTAAATTCTGGCAACAAGTTTTTAAGTATGAAATGTATATTTTTGGGTAACCCCTTTGGGTCCCCTCCCACTGTGGGAGCTCTTCTGTCCTCTCAATAAATCCTGCTTTCTCAAAAAAAGAAAAAAAATGTTTATTTTACGTATAAAATTGAAAAAATTAAAACTATAAAACTAAAATTAAAACTATAAAAATGTAAATCATTAGCATCATAAGTGTTCTTTATTCACTGGTCATATATCCTAATTTAATCTGAGATAGTGCAGTCCACCCTAACTGTACCTGTTCTAACTGCTTGCTTGTAATACACATTTGATAGTCATGAGTTTTCCTTTTTAATTTTAAAATTGGATGGTTCCACAGTAGTGTGATGGTGGTGTTTTAATTTTGACATCATATTAGCATTTGACTTTGGATAAAGTATATGTTATGTGTGTTTATGAATATAGTTAATATCTACAGTTTAAGACATTTGAAGAGACTTAATTTTAAATGCATAGCTTTCATCACTGATAACTTTTAAGGTGATGGGATATTAACTATTAATGTTATTTTAGATACTTTGTAATATTTATCAGTGTCTGTAAAATAGCAAATATCTTTTCACCATATTAAGAATTTAAATTATAAGAGCTATGGATCATGAAGGTGATTAAGTTTGTATGTTTCCCCACTCTGTTTCAATTGTTTTGTTTGACATGAAAGTGTTGGGCTGAATTAATCATGTAATGAACAGATAAGTAGTTAGAAAACCAATACATGCACCATCTGTGCAAAACTATGAAGAACCTCAGAGAAGAACATTACTGATCAAAGGAATCTAAGATGAGAGTTCCAGTCGATAAGCAAACAATAACCAACTGTTATCAATAAACAATTAAAAGGCATGTTCATTTCTCCTTCTTCTATGTATCTACTGAACACAGAAAAGGGGTGCAAACATAGATACAGCAACAGACAGCAAACCAGAGGGGCAAATCCACACATCCAAACACATGCAGTGTACCATAAGCTCTCATACTTGTTGCAGAAGAGGGGGTGTTGCAACTCAGCAACCAGTCTGCTGTGTTTAAAACAGTCATGTTGTCCCCTGAGAACAGGAACGGTATAAAAGTTCATTGTCTGAATGCCAGCTGAGTGGATATGAATAATCTTCCATGCTTGCACTGGTTTCTGACCTTTTAGCCAAAATTATAACTGCACTGTACAACTTCTACACTTTAGTTTATCAAGTCTGTTTTAGTTCAGTCAAATATATGCACATGATGAGTGGTTGAGTTTTTAATCTTATGGTTTGTAACTAATTTCAGGTTTAAATGTAAATGTTCTTAATCTAGTAGTCACCCTTAAATATTCCTATACATTTGCAGTCCCATAATTAATTATTATAGATGCATGTTTAGAGACAAATAAACATCATAAACAAGGAAGATGTTAATTTACAAAGGAGTTGGTATGAAAACATTATTAAATACAGATAAGTTGCAATGCACACAACTTTACAAAGGAAATTTTAGATTGTATAGTTATTCTAAAGTAAATGGGAAGAGGTGTATTAATTTCATAGGTATTTATTTAAAATTTTAAAGAAAATATGATGTGGCAAATGCTGACATCTGGTAATATAAATAGTTTATAAATTAAAACAAATTTCATATAATTTTTAATTTGTTGACTAAACTAGATCTATAAAATTTCAAAATAATTGTAATAATTTAAAATGCAGCTAATCTATTATATACATGTGCCTTTCTATACATATATTCTGATATAAAAATTGGGTCATATTTTCTGATAGATTGAATGTATTTTATAAAACCCATAAGGTAGAATTTTAAATAACAGTTATTACTGTTGCCAGATGCGGTGGCATAATTATTGGCTAAATGAGTGAGAAATCATCTGGAAAAATGCAATTCCCTTTAAAATAAATGTTAGGTATTACTCTCTTTGAAAAGAAAATGCAGCAGATATGGATAATTTGATTTCCAAAACCACTATTAAGAAAAGACATTTTTAAGCTTTTTTTTTTTTAACAATTCAAAATAAAACCAAAAAGTGGTGGGGCTATATATAAATGTATATATTTATATTCACATAAATTTTTGATAATGTCAGGATGTAACACTTTTGTTCTCAAAATCTAAATGTTTTAGAGTATTTTTAAGAGTAAATACAAAAGTGAAACCTTGCTAAAGCCCCTCGAATGTTGCTCAGGGCTACCTCTTCCCTCTGAATGTTTCTAGCTACAGAGGAGAGCAACATTAAGAAAATCAACAGAGCAAGAAATAACATATTAACTACATATTCCTTGGATATAATGCCGACAACATTATTGGTAATAAGATTTTTCTTTAGTAGCAGATCCCTAACATCTAAAATTAAAGCAAACATTGACATGTAACTCTGGGTATCTTTGGGGTGGTATACTTACCTCCTGTCCCATTTGTAGTGACTGATGTGCTGGTGAGATTAGATTTATCCAGTTTGGAGTTACCAGGAGTATCACTACCTCCAACAAGAGTGTGAGGACTTGCTAGGTCCTGCATTTCCATAGACCTATTGGAGAAAGAAGCGGCAAAGCAGAAGTTGAAATTTCAGAAATTATTTTTAACTAGACTACACAAATTATTCTATTGAGCACAAGTATGATCTTACAAGAATCCAAACCAGTAGCTATTTTTAGTTTTAACCAGGTGAACATGACAGTCCATTAAAATAAAACAAATAAATAAGAAAAGCTTCCACAGTAAGTTAGTTCTCATAATGTTTGTTACTTTTAAGCCTACAACTATATAATAATGTAAGGAAAAAAAGCAGATGCTGTCATCTTTGCAGTTGAAGCTGATATGAACAGCCGCCCTCCTGAACTGGTCGCTTCTGCTATAAACACCAGAAATGCTGAAAGCATTTAATTTCCCAAATTTGACATTCCCTGCCACTGATGAGGCCAAAATCAGTAACCAGAAATAAAATCTGAACTCAAAACCAGAGCATAAGCTTCTAGCTGAACCTGTTGTCCCAGGGAGGCTGAAAAATGAGCCCCAGGCCTGAGAGCTGGGGTTGTAACACTTGTAATATCCATTCAGGAATAGAAGACTTTGACTTCAGTTTGTTCCAGGGACTATGCTAGAATTGAGTCCCAAAATAAAAGTGGGATTTTTGAAAGGCTGATCCACTTTTGAAAAGGAAATTAGAAGAAACAGTCACGCAGTGGTCCAAAGAAGCCACACCTACTTAAATGAAAGAAATGAAACATATATCATAAAGTTGAAAGAATTTATCATCAACAACTTGAACTACAAAAATACTGAAGGAAGACCTTCAGCTGAAAGAAAGGATACCAGATGAAAACTCAGAC